GTCTTGGATTCTTCCTTGTGCTTTGGCTACTCTGCATTTCAGTGCAATCTTCAGAGTTTCTTCTGACATCCATTTTGATCTTTTCTTCCTCTTCTGTCTTTGTAATGACCGTTTGCACTCTTCCTGAATGATACATTTTATATCCTCCCACAACTTATCCGGTCTTCGCTCATTAGTGTTCAAGGCCTCAAACCTGTTCCTGAGATGATTCTGAAATTCACGTGGTATGAAATTAAATGATCTATATTCTTGAATTTTTCAATATTATTGACACTTTAAAATTTTTGAAGTGGTTTTATAGAAAATTTACAAGTATAATACAGTGAGCTTTTTCTCCTGAATCATATGAAAACTGGAAGGGATGGAGAACTAGAAAGTAAGAAATGGAAGAAGGACTGGAAGAGAGAAACACTGTCCTTTCTCTCTGTCTCCTCCACCTGAATATACCTGAGTACATACAAGTAGATGTTTTTACATACGGTGAAATTTTATTTTGCCATTAAAAGAAATGAAGTTCTGATACATGGATGAGCTTGAAAACATGTGAAGTGAAATAAAGGACACAAAGAAGGTTATATCTTATATGATTTACTTTATGTCAAGTCTTCAAAATAGGTAAATCCCTAGAGATGAAAAGCAAGTAGGTGGTTAGTAGGGACTTAGAGGAGGAGGGAATGGGGCCAAACTGCTTCATTAGTGGTGAATTTTATTTTGGGATGATGAAAATATTTTCAAGTAAAATAAAGATTGTTGCACAGAATTGTAGACTTACTAAATGCCATTGATTTGTTTCTTTGTTGTTGTTGTTATGTGCCATTGTGTCACTTGCAATTCATAGCGACCCTATGTACAACAGCCCTAAACTCTGCTCTGTCCTGTGCCAATCGCACTGTCTCTGACACTCCCATCCTGATTATCCCAGTCACTGAATCAATCCACCTCTTAGAGGGCCTTCCCCTCCTGCGCCGTCCCTCCACCCTCCCAAGCATGATGTCCTTCTCCAAAGACCGGTCTCTCCTCACATCATGTCCAAAGTATGTTAGACATAGCCTCAGAATCCTTGCCTCCAAGTAACCAGCGGTTTAACCCTTTCCAGGACAAATCTGTTTGTTTTCCTAGCAGTCCATGATATTCTCAATACTCTTCTCCAGCACCACAGCTCAAAGGCATCAATTCTGCTTCTATCCTCCTGTGTCATTGTCCAACTCTCTGATGAATAACAAGTGATTGCGAAGACCATGGTCTGTATCAAATGTACCTTAGTCTCCAGGGAGACACCACTGCCCTTCAGTACTCTGGAGAGGTCCCTAACAGCAGACTTTCCCATGGCAATGCGCCATCTAATTTCCTGGCTGCTGGTGCCAAGACTGTTGACTGTGGAGACAAGCAAACTAAAGCTGTGTACGATCTCAATCTCTTCACCATCCATCCTGATGTTTCCAATTGGTCCAGTGGTGAGAATCTTTGTCTTCTTGACAATGAGCCTCAATCCATATTGGAGGCTGCAGTCCTTGACCCTCTGCAGCAAGTGCTTCAGGTCCTC